TTTTGTAAATAAAAATGTTACTAGTCCTATTAATCATTTCCTGTCATAGATTTTCTTTACAAAGTGGAAAACGGATGACAGATAGATGAGTGAAATTTGATTGGTCTTTCCTAATGAACTATTCTAAACTGTAGATAAATATAAAGGGACTGGCCTCTGTGACTTATTAAAAAAAACTAAACCAAACTGATCCACCATATGATCATGTACAGAAAATCAGAAAAACACAGCAGTTCTGCAGAATTCTTGACGCTGGATAATGTGGCAAAAGATACACATAAGGTTAGAGATAGAGTGTTTTTTACAGGCTGCTTTGATGACAGGTGTAAGCTTGATTAGGGAGACAGGCCCAAAGTTATGCTGGTCTCAGATGTTTACCACTGGGTGAACACAGGTATGATGTGGGCAAACCTTGAAACATAATCTGGGCACACCTGTATTCACATCGATACCACTTGGTGAACACAGGTATGATGTGGGCAAACCTTGAAACATAATCTGGGCACACCTGTATTCACATCGATGATCTTAGGTTTCTGACTGACTGACTGAGGGAAATGTGCTGCCTCAAATGACTCACGAATGTCTCCAAATATGCTTAGATGCCCCTTCAGTCAAGGGAATGGCAGGAACAAAGCGACAATAGGACACAGGGCATTTGAAGGTGAAGGAAAGTTTGTAATATTGCATTAAGAGTAGTAATTTAAATAAATGCACAAGAGTGTGAGCCACATCCCTGTATTAGGTACATACATACATCAAAACAAATAATTTAGACAATCATATATACAGTTATAATACAAATTCTTAGAGAGGTATAATCAAACAAAACATAACATTTATGATCTGTCTAACAGAAACATAATTTGGTATAACAAGGTAAAAGCATTTCTTTGACAAACATAACAAAGACATCAAGTTCCTGTGTGGAGTCCCATAATTAATTCACACTTTAATACATTTTATCATAGGAGAGTCATGTTTAAACAAGTGAGAAGGAATAAGTAGGTTCAATATTGCATTTAAAATTATTGCACCTTCACAGTGACATACATGCATGCATACTGTGTGTCTGTGCAAGCACATTTGCTTGTGTTAGTCTGGACAAATATTGTGTTAATTGTGCTAGCCTACTGATCCCCATGCTGCATTGGATACCCCACTGAAACAAATTATTCTGACTGAGCCAACAAGTCCTTGTTTTATCCCATTATTGCTGAGTGCCAGACAGGGTCACAGCTTGATGTATGATGCAGTGATGGGAAGGAACCACTGACTCTCCAGGGACACACTATATGCACCAGACCATGGCAGCAAGCTGATTACAATGTGTAACCTGGAGAATTGTGTGTACATAAACAGCGTCAGTTGTTTCTCCTCAAATGCAGTGAGGCGATCTGGAATCTCGATTATAGTTTAACATAAACTCTTAAAACACCTGCAATAAACATATCATGCTTGGTTGTAAATACTGTTTCTTAAAAAAATATAGTCATGACACATGTATTCCCATCTGTTTGATTGAGCAGCCCTGATCCAACTCACCTGGTTGGGTAAACTATCACTAAAGTACTGGTGGAAATAGAAAAAACCCTGTTTTTAGGTTGTTACTCTGTATCCCTAAAATTTACACAACTGCAAATAGCATATGTCAAAATAACACACATCGGCCTAACTGGGCGTTCAGTGGGATGTGTAATATGATATCCATAAAAGCATGTTTACATCGGACAAAACTTAAAATACGAATAGCTGTTGAAAACAATCGCTCAGCCAGGTATGACGATGGACCGTCGACTCACCTGGCATGAAATGCATGTGCTGCCTACAGGCACAAGGGGTCATCTCAAAGACATTTGATGCTTTTTCATGAGTGCTGAATTTGTTTCATCTATTGATTTACATCTTACGTGTCTTTCTTTCATAAGATTTATGTTGTGATATGTAAAAGAGTATGATACCCATCGTAATAAATATCTCTAAATATAAAGGTGGCATGACCACCAAAGATCGACAGGACTAGATATTATTTGTAAATTGTAATGACATGCAATTTACTTCCCCAGTTAAATTCCCCTCAAGGATTATCTTATCTTACCGGTAGCTGATGTCTCTATCCCCCAGCCCGACCCCAACCACTGTCTGCGATACCTGTCCTGGTTTTGCTTGTCTGTCTGTTTGTTTTTATAGTGATAGTGAGACTCCATGGTAGCTACATCCTTAATAGTTGCAGCATTAAAGCTATTATTCTTTAAATCAGCTATCATTTATAATGAAGCTAAGTCTAATTTCAAAATGGGCATTTAAAAAGTGTCCTTTGTAATACAATATCATTGCACACTAATTTGCATAAAGCCATGGTCTTTTCAAAACAAGTCAGCTTTGGACTTAGAAAAAAACTGCACTGCTCATTCCTGTCCTAATCTCTCCTCAGTAAAGTCCCTTATTTACGTTTCCTATCTCCCTACCACTCAGACTGTAGTTAGGCCAAACATAGTTGAACAGATATTTCATACTTTCACATATTAACTACATAAATTGTAGATATAAATGTGAAAAAAAACCCATTTTGTTTCTATTTCCAACAGTACTTAAGTGTACCAAGCCCACACCCAATGTTGGTACAGCTAGAATATTGCACAAAAAACATTCAGTCACTCCTTTCTGGAGACACCCCACAGGACAAAGTGTTCTCCTGGGTCTAGGTCAAAAGACCCTCAGGGCAAAAGGCCCTTGGTACAAAAGCCCCTCGAAAAATGACCAAAAGCCCCTCACTTTATGTATTAATGGGAAAATAAGATTAAAGACAATAAATTAGAAACATTTTATTGCTTCATAAAATAATGACCCTAATTACTATGTACATTAACATGTAATTAGCAAATAATTTTAGTGAATAAGAAATATATATCATCAAACAAATGAAAACAAATCAACAAGAAATTATTAATGACTCGAAAAATTGTTTTACATAATAATTAATAATTAAACAAATCCACACAACCTAATGTTATGGCTTATGGCGGAAGGAACGTCCTCAGTATAACGGACAGCATTCTGTTTTCAAAACACAGCTTTTTGAGGCGGCGTATTAACTGCATGATCAAGTTTTAGTCAAATGTTTTTCGCAGAAATATTTATACACCTCGCTCATACTTGAGCAAATTAGCTCCATTTCCTTTACACTTGTATGATAAAATACTTAAAATACTTTATAAAATATATAAGAGCCATGAGAAATGTTCATTCTTTTATGAAATACATGAATCGAGGGGCTTTTGACAGGGGTGCATAAAATTAGCGAGGGGCTTTTGTCCAGAGGGGCTTTTGGCGGATCCCCGTTCTCCCAACATTTCCCCGTGAAACAGCAGTTATACTAAGGTAAACATTTAATATCAATCAACCTAAGTGCTTTGTAAAGTTTACAAACTATTTCAACAAAAACAAATGTTTCAATTACCAAACAATATTTCATCTGAACATTAATGTACTGTACATTGATGTGCTGTGGCATGATGTCAGTGATTGTCAAAATCTGCTCAATGACATGATGTGCTATAAATTTGACAAATATATATATACATTTGTAGTCTTGTAAATTATCACTTTACTTTGACTACAGATGACAAAAAAAATCATGCTATCAACTGATAACAATTGATATTATTTACAATCCAATGATATCTTTCACATATGAACAATAAATGACTCCTCTGATTCCTATGCATCCTTCAACCTTGACATGATAATTGTTTCAATACACAATCATTCTTTGTTGAACACAATGCATTCTGTTGTTTCAAGAGCTCTGGTACTGTTACAAGAAGAGTCATTAAATTCTTTTTACCACAGACGTTCAGTGTTATCAAGCCTGTGTTATGTCTCATCTTGACTACTGTAATTCACTTCTTTATGGCCTTGCCATACCGTCTCATCAACAAACTCCAAAAAGTCCAGAATTCCGCTGCACGATTAATCAAGAGAACAAGAAAATCAGACCACATCACCCCTATACTGAAGAATCTACACTGGCTTAAGATTGTAGACAGAATCAAATTTCAAAACACTGACTCTAACTTTCCGTGGATACCACTCTGAGGCACCTCCCTAACTCAACGAACTTATTAACAAATACCAACCTGCAAGATCTTTGCAATCCGATAGCCAACTCCTACTGACAGTTCCTCCGCCCAACATCTTTTCGAAATAGAAGCTTCCAAATCGTAGCTCCACGGCTCTGGAATTCTCTCCCTTTTGAATTACGATCTTCTCAGAACATAGAAACATTCATATCACACCTGAAAACCTACCTCTTCACCTCATGTTACGTCTGAACTGCAAACTCTCCGTTTATATAGACTCACTGTTGTACATATTCCCCAGGACAATTCATTGCCCAAAAGCGCGCTTTTGAGGAGTTTAACAGAACTGGAAATAAGCGCTATATAAATATATATTTATTATTATTATCAGGAAATGTCAGCTTAAGGAGGAAAGATAGATGAATGCAGGTGTTATACAGTTTATATGGTTGACACAAATCACAATCAGGGCAGTATAGCATAGCATGTTTGTGTGCATCCTCGATAATCTCCAGGGTATAGGTTACGATCACTCTCCACTATACCTTGGATGCATCCACGGCTTGGCCCGATGTTTTTATTACCTCCCTTGGCTGGCTTTTTATCCAATCAGGTGTTTACGCTGGGAAGTTCAGCGAACCAATCACAACTCACTTTCGCTTCCTAAATTATCTAACTGTTTAAACTTGGCAACACAATTGATGCAGAGTTACTCTGAAAGAGGTAGAAGGAGTTCTATATATTTTTTTGAAAGTTTCAGATCTGTCAATTTGTCTATTATTTCCTCAAAAATCTAAGTGGCACTGCGAACAAACCTTTGTGTCTGTGACCGCTATCTTTGTTGACACTGGCAAGCTCGGATGTAACGGTGGCTTAGCTGACTGGCTACTGTGAGAATGCAGAGCCAGCAAAGGGAGGTAATATAATTATCAGGCCAAGCCGTGGATGCATCCAGGGTATAGTGGACAGTGATCGTAGCGTGTACCCTGGAGATTATCGAGGCTGGTTTGTGTGTTGTTTACTGAGACACACCTGCGGTATTCAAGCTACATAATGGGGGCCTATAAATAGTCCAGTCAGGACAAGACAATCCAGGGACTGATGCTAATAGCAATGTTACATGTCGTTGGGTTACATCAACATGTCATCCAGTGTCATCAAATCCATTTAGGAATCCTGGCAGTTCTGACATCTGTAGGTTGTCATGAGGTCCAGAAGATCCTAGTAGTCACTGTCATCATCATCAGACCGATCCTCATTGTATCTACAACAGTAGAACATTACAGAATCCTAATGCTGTCAAGAATCTATTTTTCCATTTACTCTCAATGAGAATGTGCTTTTAAGCCAATAAAATAAAAAACACTAAAAGTTAGCCATAGAGCTTGGACTACACGATACTTGTTTTGCATGTATTACAAAAATAACCCTTCACATAACAAAATCTAAGTAGCAATAAGTGTGATGCTACACATATCTACATTGTAGCAAAACATAAGACATGTGTAAAGACATAAGTATACACAAGCTATAAAGATCTAAATCCGGTCAGACGGCACAATATCGTTTTACTACTGGGTTATTTAATTCATTCAAGTGTATTTGTACAAAAGCAACTCAACATTTATTGGGTTATGGGAACAAAGCTTGGACCTTTGACACAAACATACAACACATCTCAAAATCACTGAATATCTGTTCCCATTGGGGATACCATGCACTAAGTCAAGAAATGCATGACAAGGGGCCATAACTCCTTAACAAATTGGTTTTTGTTCTCGAACTCCATGTCCTGAAAACACATACCAAATTTGGTTTCCCTATCTAACAGTTTCTGAGAAAATCTGTCCCCATCATCTCAGATAGACGGACAGAGCTCAAACCTATACCCCCTCTCACTTCATGGTGGGGGATAATAATGAGAAAGTGTGAGTTGTGTACATATTTTGGCATATCTTTGAACATAATCAATGCTTGTATGATCTGTTTAGCTTCTGTGCAAAACACAAACAGAAAGACAAAACTTATGTAGATAACTTACTCATCATAACCACCATCTCCATGGTAACCGGCACCCATTTTATCTGAAACAAAGTATCAAATTAAAGGAGGGGTTAACTAATGTTTACATTGTGTTTAAGTCACATTCACAGTTATTGCACTCATATATACATGTACATCCACATGAGTCTGCTTGTGTGTTTATAGTGCCACTCCTCTGACGCACCATGCCGTAGTTCAACATGGCAACCCTACCCAGACACACTATACTGAAACTTTGTTTTACCTCCTAAAAATGCTAAGTGGCAGGCAAAGTAACAAGTACCTCTATTGCAGCCTGATGCAGCCTGGGGATTAAACCACCTACCTTCTGCTCTCCTGGCACATGTTCTTTCCACTAGACCATGGAGGTTGTCCAAATTTAAGTCAAAATATAATTCACAACAAAGTATGATAAAAATATTGACCATAAACTATATATAACTGGTGCTACTGAATATCTGAAGTTATTGAATTGTAAACCTCTTGTGTGTAATGGACATAATGACACTATTATCAATTACATAGCTACCTTATATGACCTGACTATAAGTCGGATCTGACTATAAGTTGGGCCCCTTTCTCAACCCTCTAAATTCTTGCCAAAACCATGTAACTCAAATATAAGTCGGCCCTGTATGTATCGGTATTGGGTAGATCAAGATCGTGACTGTTCAACACTGTAACATGACGAACGTAAACACGTGTTTGTTTTGTTTTGATATTTACTGTTTCATACTAACGGAACACTTTGTATATAGCATAATAAAACATCCAATAAATTGTTGACTTACTGTGTTTGTTATCTTTTGTAAAAACATGTTCTTTTGCCAGCTTGGTGAACGGATAGTTCAAGATACCTGAAACTTGTTTATTTTGAGAGCAGATTTCTGATTGGCTAATGATAAAATGAAAGGCCAATCAACAGAAGCCTTACATAACCGGTGAAGCGATCGCTTCCAAGAAAGGTTGTGTTTGTGTGAAATGAACAGTTTCATAATTCCCTATGAAAAAAAGACAAACGACGACGTTGCTTTCTATCATTTATATCAGACAGTTCACTCTTCATGATAAAACAGAAAAAACATTGAAGAAACAAATATAAAATAACAATTGCATACATATATCACCATTGAGTGGAGGGATATATAAAATACCGCATACATGTATTGATGTTGAGGGTAGGGATATCTCCATACAAATACAAATATTATTTTTAGGGAGGTTGACTTGATGAGGTCTGAGAAGAGTCTTCACTGCCATCCATGGCGTTGGAAATACCGCACTTTAGGAAGCTTCGTCTGACCATATCCCCCGAATAGCATCCCACGAGTCACGCACCCACGTAGCGACTGTAGGGAGGGGCGCACGTCTCATGGTGTTGTTCTTAGTGAACGTGTGTTCACCATTCACCATCCACTCGGACCACTGTTGTCGCACTCTCTGTTTGAATGGCTTGTTAGGGAGACTTCCAGGGGCTGGAGGAGTGACGTGCACCCACCGGGGATGACCACTTGTTTTGTCTTGTTTTCCTTCAGTTTCTTCTTCACGACGTCACACAGATGCACTCGAAACATGTCCCACACAAAGAGAGACTGACAACCTCGGGCACCTCACATAACAAAATGTAAGTAGCAATAAGTGTGATGTCTAGCCATCCACTATGAAGATCTAAATCCGGTCAGACAGCACAATATCCTGGGTTATTTAATTCATTCATGTGACAGCCAGCGACAGCAACCAGTGTCTCATCCATCCACCCCTTGGGATGTACAGGCATCGTCTTCCTCTTTAATATCACCATCAGCGTCAACTTCTTTCCATCGGCGTTGCATGACAGTACGACGATGAAGTGGGCTTTCTCTGTCCCGGTCGTCTTCACAGTGACGGTTGACGACCCCTTGGTGTGAATGGTCCTGTTCCCTGGCATGTCGAATGTGAGGGGAGTCTCGTCCATGTTGCCTATTTGTGACAGGCATTTACCTTTGGAAACGTTGTCAGTATGTATATGCTTCCTGCTTTCGGTGTAAACATTGCCAGTTGAGTTCGCTGGGCTGGCAGATTCACTCACCTGACCTCTGGAATTTATGCGGTAGATTAATGAACTCAATTATATGTTGGGTCTGATTTTTTAGCTCCATTTTCTGGTATTAAATTTCCGACTTATAGTCGGTCATATACGGTACAACATACTTCCTTCCCAATGTTGACCAACATTTTGATCGTCAAGGTATATATTCCTATATTCCAGATGACTCAAGCCAGATAACTGACATTGCTACAAGCCTGATGACTGATGATGCTACAATTCTGATGATGCTACAAGCTTCATGACTGATGATGGTACCAGCCTAATGTGAAATGACACTACAGGCCTAAGCACTGATGACACCACAAGTTTGATGAGTGCACACTACAAGATTGATCACTGATGATGCTTCAAGCCTGCTGATTGATGATACTACAAGACTGATGTACTTCTACCCTTATGACTTGTGATACTACAAGCTTGATGACTGTGATGCTATCAGCTTGATGACTTATGACATTGCAAGCCTAATGGTGATCACAAAACAAGCCTGATGATGGTGCAAACTGTTGACCAGTGTGTGAAATGGCCACTGACCCGCTAGCCCGTGGCTAGTCAAAATCCAATGGGGCCAGAAATCTCCACAGTCACTGGCCCGACTGGCTAGAGACTTTTCATGGGGTTATTTGTAAATATATATCTCTCTCCGACTTGTTAAGTCATAATACACTTTTAAATCATGCAAGATAATGGTATGATAAAAAATGTTCATCATATTAGCAGCTTAATTATGAAACCCGTGTCATGCTGACAATATCTTATTCTCATCTATTTTTGTAATCTATTGCTTAGTTTCTACATTCAAATTTCGAGCTGGTGAATTATTTTGTGGGCTAGTAACTTTCAGGCATAGCTAGCCCGACCGGCTAGTAAAATATCGAAACTATTTCGCACACTGCTGTTGACTGATGATACTACCAGCCTGATGACTTATACTACAAGTCTGATGACGGTGCAAACTGTCGACTGATGATGCAAACTGTTGACTGATGGTGCATGCTGTTGACTGATGATGCTACCAGCGTGATGACTTATACTACAAGCAGGATGACTTATACTACAAGCAGGATGACTTATAATACAAGCAAGCCTGATGACTTATACTCCAGCCTGATGACAAGCCTGATGACTGATGATACTACAAGCCTGATGACTTATACTACCAGCCTGATGACTTATACTACCAGCCTGATGACTAATACTACCAGCCTGATGACTTATACTACCAGCCTGATGACTTATACTACAAGCCTGATGACGGTGCATATTGTTGACTGATGATGCTACCAGCCTGATGACTTATGATACTACAAGCCTGATGAAGGTGCAAACTGTTGACTGATGATGCTTATGACACTACAAGCCTGACAGCAGTGCCAAGACAAGCCTGATGACCGGGCACTTCAAGTCTGATGACTGTTGATAGTGCTACTGTTACTGCACTACTTACATTCTTGAACATGTTTCCTGGGGTCGTACTTGAGTGAGTTGATGTCTGCATCAGGATGATCCTTCAGATATTGTGCCTTTGCCTCCTCAGCGGCCTTCTCCATCTCCTCTGCATGAATCCTTTGAGCATCCTCAGTGTTGCTGCACCTGTGGACAGAGAAAAAATGTTCAGCATCTCACTGCAACTGAACAGTGGCATGGTCTTATATCAAATTTACCAGTGTCCCTGTATCTGAAGTATCGGAACAGCTGCATAACCATTATAACAAGGGTCACACATTATATATTAATGGTTTACATATTATTTGCAAACCAATTTAGTTTTAGTAAGCTAAAACATTTTTGCAGAGTTAATACCTTTGAAAATTTTAACTATAAATTGTATATTTATATACTTATGCTATCTCACGCCTTCTCATGATCGACAGCTGAGTGGAAACAAACTGTAAACACAGTTTCCAGCCTCTCTTGTACCATTCGCGCAAACACTCCCCACTGCTCCCATTCCTGGACAGCCTTGTAGCCTGTGAGAAGCATGCAGTATGTTCTCTGGTTGATCATGTGACTCCTTTGTCTGATCATTCTCTTCTTGGAGCTAAGTCATAATCTGTGCAGTGTCTGTAGTTGAATAACAACCGTGGCAAGTGCTGATGACGTGCAAGGACGCCAGTTATGAGTATAATCTGATTAACTACAAAACTCCCATAATTGTGGCGGGTTGTTCCTCATACCCCTTGGCTTACACAGAACAAAATTATCATGGAGTTTGGGTGCTCCCGAGTAAATGTAGTTTTCAGCCGCAACTTTTGTTCAAACAAAAAGACAGAGCTCATTAGGTTTTTCCACCTTGCCCCGGTTTCCAGAAAGCCTCAGTAAATTAAAGTCTGATAACTCTAATCTGGCCAGCCCATGCTTCGAAACCATCTCCCGCCGCGATCACACATACAGGTGAAAGACAAAATGGCTCAGTTAGCTCAACAGTTTTAACGTTCAGTTCCAAACAACACTAATTAACTCTTGCTCCTTATCTAAGCTAGTCAATAATGTGTCTGGAACTTAGGAGAAGAATGCTTCGAACATCACTGGAGTTTGGTATTCACTATTTACTGACGTGATTGCTCGTTAGAGTAGAGGTCAGTAAGCATGAGTGTCGATCACCTCTGCATTCTAGTATAAGGCTGCTCTTCTCTGTCTATGACGAAGTCGCTCAATGGTAACTACATGCCTATGCCCAAGTATAAATCCAGGTGAGGTAGATCTAAGCCCTAAAAATAGAGAAAAAAATATCTCTGACTTCCAGCAGCATCCCTCCATGATGAAAGTCAACAAACAGTTGCTGATAGAAGCCATCGTAGAGGCTAGTGCTCAAGTTTCATGTAGGTTTGATGCAGCTGGAGTGGGAAGTCTGGTGAAGGAAGTCTGCTTGAAGGATAAGTTGATCTCATCCAGAACGCTAGAGTCGAGCAACTGCTGCCGTGATAAAGAGACGCTTACGTAGCCTTCGACGGTCTTGTGAAGCAGCAATGTAGATCTTTAAAGCTCTAACTGGGCAGAGCGAGAGATCTTCCTTATCATCCAGCCCAAGAATAGTGGACAACGGTGGGATAGTGAAGAGCCTTACAGCTGCCCTGGCAGTTGTTTTTTTGCTATAAAGCCCCAACGTAGACTCAAGAAAAATTCCACGTTTCTTCCGCTCGAATTGAAGTTGGTCAGGATCCAAAGCATGGAGCTCCGACATTCGAGCCAGGAAGAAGGTCTAAAAAAATAATACGCTTGAAACTCTTGTCTGAAGGTTCGCAGTCACTCAAGTTGAGGTGCTAAAGCATGATGGAAAGATCCCAAGCAGGAGCTTGGAAGTTCTTGGACTGATCAGCTAGCTTATAGGAGTGCAGTAGGGACTGGAGTTCAGGTCCGGTATCTTGATGCCCGTTGCCGTAGCTAGGACCGTGTTGATAGCTGCTAATTAAGTAGCTAAAGTAGATCCTTTCAGTTTCTTAGACATTCGCAAATGTTGTAGATACTCGGCAACAGTCTGGGCAGAAGCTATACAGAATATCCTTCACTCTGCAGTAACCCTAAAAATTCTTCCATTTCTTACCATGGAGCGAGCATGTGGAACAATGGTGTGCTGAAGTAATAGTCACAGCAACTCTCCTGGAATATCCCTTGGCGATCAAGGACCTTTGCAAATGCGCCAAACGTGAAGACATAACGTTTGCAGGGACCCTTGAAGATGATCTGAGTGTGGGTGGACCAGTACCAGCCACTGGATCTGGATCGGCGAGACTTAGCAGATCTATGAACCAACTTCAAGCCTGCCAGTAGGGCGCGACCAACAGCAGTGTTATCTTCTTGGTGGACTGTAGCTTCTGTAACACTCAAGGTAGTAGAGCCGGCTCTTGCTGTGATGACCAGGGTGTCTACCAGTTGGGAGAACTGGGTTGCCCAACCAAGAAGCTTCAATGAATCTGTTGAACCCAGATGATTGATGTACCACACTAATGTCAAGTTGTCCGATTGTGCCCAATGTCTTATGGCTAAGATGACTGCCTTGAACTCCAGTTTGTTTTTGTGGAGGAATTGCTCGTTTAGCGACCACAGCCCTGCCACTTGATCAACGTGAAGATGGGCTTCCATCCTCGAAGAGATGCATCTACGAGTAGGTGATGAGTGGTGCTGAACAATGTCAAGCAAACTTTCAATTCGTCAAGCCACTACAGGTACCGATGGAGCGACGAAGGTAGGAGGACCGGCTCATGGGGATCATTCAGCCTCAGGAGCGCACAGAGAAGGGAACTCTTCCATAAATATTGATTCGTCGAGCTACCACTGCATGTACTGATGGATTGACAAAGGTAGCAAGATCTATGCATGGGGAGCAATCATCACGCTAAAGCGCTATCATTGTCTCGCTATAACGCTTGCTTCAGTTCTCTCTTCATTCTTTTGCAGAATGCAGTAGTCCCTTGTTGATGTTATCAATCAGGTTTTTAAAGGCTGCATCTGAAGAACCCTGCCATCTGAGTTATGTGCGTCGTATCTACAAGTTTGATGCTACCCTCAGGCGTAGACAGGTCCTCCCGAAAATGTGGTGAGATCGGCGAACTCAGAGGTAGGACTTGACGACTCTGATTCAGAAACGTATCTGGTTGCTGTACTTGCTCTAAAGTCGTTGTCATGGCTCGCACCATTAAGTCAAAGACCATGTTAGGGTGAGGTTGTGTATCTCAGGAATGATCCCAAGAGACAGGTAGGTTCAGTTACATCGCTCTAGTTGCCTCCGACGAATAGGTAGAGGTGAGCGGGATCACCAAACCTAATGTCAAGTTCGAAGGCTGAGACGCAGTGGCTGCGACAAACGGGTTCGTCAAGCATGAATCGGTTATAGTTAGGGCTCTCGTTGGTTCAGCTGAATAACCACTTAGTCTCTAGGCTTGGCGTTCGGTGGCATGCTTGAATCCGAGGAGCGAAACAAATGACTGAGGTTGTCGCTAAGATATGAATCGGAAGAGGCCAACAAAAATTCTTCTTGCTCAGCGGGATATGAGGTAGATTTTCGTGCCTTCTTCACAGGTCGATCTTCTCTGGGTTTCTTGGATGAAAAAGGCCCATACTCCTAGTTATGTCTGGAGTCTCGGTCCGCAAAGTGCTGGGACCCCACACTCTCATATTCACCAAACTTTCCATCATGTATTTAATTCATCATTAATTAATATGTTAATGATTACTTTTTCTCTTCGTTCTTGAAGCCATAACCTTTTACTTCGCTTACAGATAGAACAAGAGTCATCAGAAGATGACATATCCCCCCGGCCCCCACATATTTGAAAGAACAAATCATCTGACAGTTAGTTTAAAGTCCAAATCGTTTCCATGGAAATCATGAAAAATACAAATGCCAAACATCTGTAAAGAGCAAAAGACACCACTTTGGCATCTGCCTCACATATCTGCCAAGTTTTGTTGAAAGATATTAAGAAGTTTTCGCGTTGTGCTCCAGAAATGAAACCCACCCCTCCCTTTTGAGACTAAGTCCAATCGTTTCCATGGAAACCAAAACAAATAAAAATGACACAAATCTGTAAATAGCAAAAGGCACCACTTCAAGATCTGTCTCATATATCTGCCATGTTTTGCTGAAAGATATTAAGAAGTTTTCGAGTTGTGACTAAGTCCGAATGGTTTCCATGAAAACCGGGAAAAATAAAAATGCCAAAAATGTGCAAATAGCAAAAGGCACCACTTAAGGTTCTGTTTGATATATCTACCAATTTTTGTTGAAAAATATTGAACGTTTTTTTAGTTATGCTCTGGAAACAAAATGATTATGGACAGACGGATGGACAGACGGACGAGGCGTCGACTATATCCCCCCGCATTACATGCTGTGGGGATAAAAAGGGAGTATAAAAGACACAAACATGTAATTTTCCACCTTGCACTGTTTTCTTACCTGCCACCATTAAAGTGATCATAGTCAATGTCTGGTTCTCGGCACACGTAGCAACTTGTGGCGCCACAGGAACATGTCATCTTGTTGCAACCGTAATCCTTGAAGAATCTCTTCTTGCAGCGATGGCAGGTTCTCAACATGGCCTCTGAGATGCGGTTCTCAATGTAGGTTCTCATGCTTGTCTCCCCTTGTTTCTCCACCTCCTCGCACTTCAATGGCACATGATTGGGTTCCTTGCATAGCCTGGAAAATAATTCTGATTAACATATACTGAGCTGAGGTAGGGGCTAGATAAATCAAACAAGAGTCATCAGAAGATGACATATCCCCCCGGCCCCCACATATTTGAAAGAAAAAAGCATCTGACAGTTACTTAAAGTCCAGCTTGATTTTTTTTAGACTAAGTCCGAATCGTTTCCATGGAAACTGGTAAAATAAAATTGCCAAAAATCTGTAAATAGCAAAAGGCACTATTCAAAATCTGCCTCATATATCTGCCAAGTTCTGTTGAAAGATACTGAGCGGTTTTCGAGTTGTGCTCCGGAAACGAAGCCCACCCCTCCCTTTTGCGACTAAGTCTGAATCGTTTCCAGGGAAACTGAGAAAAAATAAAAATAACAAAATTCTGTAAATAGCAAAAGCCACCACTACAAGATCTGTCTCATATATCTGCCAAATTCTGTTGAAAGATATTGAACGGTTTCAAGAGTCATCAGAAGATGACATATCCCCACGGTCCCCACATATTTGAAAGAAAAAGCATCTGACAGTTACTTAAAGTCCAGCTTGATTTTTTTAGACTAAGTCTGAATCGTTTCCATGGAAACCGACAAAATAAGAAATATCAAAAATCTTTAAATAGCAAAAGGCACCACTTTAGGTTCTGTTTGCTATATCTACCAATTTTTGCAGAAAAATATTGAATGGTTTTTGAATTATGCTCCGGAAATGAAGCCCACCCCTCCTTTTAAGACTAAGTCCAAAACGTTTCATGGAAACCGAGAAAAATACAAATGACAAAAATCTGTAAATAGCAAAAGGCACCACCTTAGGTTCTGTTTGATATATCTACCAATTTTGGTTGAAAAGCATTGAACGTTTTTCGAGTTATGCTCCGGAAACAAGATGATTACAGACGGACGGACAAGGCGTCGACTATAAAACCCCAAAACAAAGGGATCATGTCTGTATTTCAAACTAAAATACATATCAGACATGAAAATACTGACCGACATGTCTCCTTGAGGCATTCTGGGTTGAGGCACCTGAATACTTTATCACTGGGATCAGACATAATGGTGGCAAAATTACAGAATGAGCACGAAACCAGATCAGGAATTTCAGCCAATCGAATCTCTTCTTCTTGTAACCGAGACAACATTCTGGAGAACATTGCTGATGTAAGGACTTCCTGCAAGACAGTCAGTGGAATATCAAATTCACATTCCCCTGTCAAGCAGGGAAACTTAGTCTTTGCTTCACCAAGTGCAGACTCTGTAGATCGGCGGATACATTCTCGGCAGAAGAGATGGCCATCTGCACAGGCTGACAAGTCCTCAAATAGAAGTTCATCATCAAAACAACATCCACATTCATACAGTTCACCATTTCTTCTTGCAGCTTGAAGTTTCCTTTTCCTTTCCAGCTCTATAAACAGGAAATGATCTGAAAAAGCAACAATAACCTATATAGAAATCTAATCATAAAACAGAAAATTGCGGAAGAAATTATCTAAAAATAGCAATCATGACAAAATCTCCTTATGAATGGGATGAATACCATGAGACTTCACTTGACTGAGACTTACCATGAGACTTCAGATTACTGTAGCAAAAACTAACTTTGATTTTGGTGTAATAAAATCATACATGAAAACTATAAAAGTGAAATACTTTGAAAATCTTAAAATATCCTTGTTCAGTTAGTGTGAATTGAGTGTCATATCTTTGTAAAGTGGAGAAATGCATGCATTTCCTCAGTGACTAAGTTTATAGTTTATGCTGTTAAATGACTTATCTTCAGTGATCAAAATTACAATAATTGCTTTTCAATTGTTTTTACCTTTTATTCTCTGTTCATTTTGTGAGTAAAGTAGTTCATGGTAAAATCTCTCATCTGGTTCATCTGGGAAAGATAAACGCTCTGTTCGAGGTTCTTGTCTCAGTTTCTTTGTGTTGAAATGTTCTTCTGCATAAAGAAAGAAAATAATATAATATAAAAGAAGGATGCATGTGTTTGGGGGCAACAGCTTTCAAGAACCATTTGGTTTAGGTCTTTATTACCTGATTTGGATGTTTCCATTTGTACAAATGAATACCCGCAGACAACATAAATGTTCCTTCAGTCGCACTCTGTTCCAAAAACACTTTCAGTTTGGTATATCACCATTTTTCCAGCATTCAATAGGAACTTTGTTATGTTAGTAATATCAATTAAGCTTATCTTGTTTTCTTACAAGCAACTAGAAATCAGTAATTAGTGAGTAGAAAGCCTGATAGAAAAGATATATTTGCCATTGTTGAAAAAACAAGAGTCATAAAAAGATGACAAATCCCCCCGGCCCCAACATATTGTAAAAAAAACCCTAATCATCCGACAGTTACTTTAAGTCCAACTTGATTTCCATGGAAACCAAGAAAAATATAAATGCCAAAAATCTGCAAATAGCAAAAGTCACCACTTTGGGATCTGCCTCATGCATCTTGCAAGTTTAGCTAAAGGATATTGAAAGGTTTTCGAGTTGTGCTCCGGAAATGAAGCCCACCCCTCCTTTTTGAGACTAAGTCCAAACTGTTTCCATGGATACCAAGAAAAATATAAATGCCAAATATCCGCAAATAGCAAAAGGCACCACATTAGGGTATGTCTCATATATCTGCTAAGTTCTGTTGAAAGATATTGAATGGTTTTCGAGTTGTGCTCCACAAAGAAGTCTACCCCTCCTTTTTAAGACTATGTCCAACATGTTTCCATGGAGTGAGTGAGTGAGTGAGTTAATATTTAACGTCACATCGGCAATATCTCAGCCATATCGTGACAAAAACAATTTACACAAGTGAAAACATTTTGAAGATTAAAACCTGTCGACGATGGACAGTAAAAATACTAGAGAATCACAGATATGAATATAAAACTAGCGAGCAAAGCTAAAACATTCCAATTAAAGAAGACAATACAGTATAAAAGACGGGCTATAGATCGCCAACAACTGAAGGTAGATCATCATACTAGGAACCATGGGGACTTACATTACTTTTGCTACCTGCATGGACCCTAGCTAGATTTACACCATCCCTTCAGCCGCTGGCGATTGTAGGAAAATTGAGCCAATAGTTAAAATAACAAAAATACTACGTTTAAAACGTGGTAAATTTATATTTTACTTTGAAAGTTTTGGGACTTACGTACCTTCTCAGGAGGACAATAATTTTACAATACTTTAACCCCCTTTGAGGGTACAGCCACTAACAATCTAAGTTACTAATCTAAACTACCAATCTTTAAAACATAGCTATTTACAAAACACATTAATCAGAATTCATTCAATAAATCAATCTCTTTTAAAAAAACAATAATTAAATGAAAATTAACATTTGTAAAAAGATTCTTGACTGTTCTTACATTGAAATATTTATCCCTTATGATGAATTCAACACAGTCAAGCAGGACATGCTTGACCGTGGTTCTCTCATCACAAGGGATACAAAATGGTGGATCTTCACCTTTTAACAGGTATTTATGAGTATAATGCGTATGACCAATATGACATCGTCGCATCATGACCTCCTCAAGTCTGGACTGACAACCCAAGTAGGTGTAACCAATATCAGGTTTTATTTCATGTAATTTATTGATACCTGCCTGGGTGTCCCACTTCTTCTTCATCTGCATCTGATCACGGATGTAGGTTCTAATGCTATCTTTGTAGTCAGAGTATGGAAGAAGTGATGTCACAGATTTGTTGAATGCTGCCTTGGCAGCAAGATCGGCCATTGTGTTCCCAGAAATGCCAACGTGGCTGGGCAACCAACAGAAGACGATGTCGCATTGGCCAGTAGCAAGATCATTATATAGTTTGATTATTTTAATTAAAAGTGGATGTTTGCAAGATAGATTTCTTATAGCCTGAAGGCAAGAAAGAGAGTCAGGAAAGATTATATATTGTTTATGTTTAGGATGTCTTTGAATATATTTAAGTGCCGTTAATATGGCGTTTGCTTCTGCTGTAAAAATAGAGCTGTTATCCGGTATTGTTTCCATGGAAATCATGAAAAATTAAAATGACAAAATATGTAAATAGCAAAAGGCACCACTTCAGGTTCTGTTTGATACATTTACCAAGTTTTGTTGAAAGATATTGAACTGTTTTTGAGTTGTGCTCCGGAAACGAAACCCATCCTTCCCTTTTGAGACTAAGTTCAAATCGTTTCCATGGAAACCAAGAAAAATAAAAATGACAAAAATCTGTAAATAGCAAAAGGCACCACTTTAGGTTCTGTTTGATATATCTACCAATTTTTTTTGAAAAATAATGAGTTATGCTCCGGAAACAAAACGATCACGGACGGACAGACGGACGGACAGACAGACAGATGGACAAGGCGTCGACATAACAACAACATGGGAATACTTTCAAGACTGCACAGTTACTCTGGAAAACCCTCAAAACTTTAAAACTCCCAAAGTTTCAAATATACTTAAACCTCACTTAAAACTAACATCACTATGATAACAGCATCATTCCCACAAGTTAAATAGACAACTGTGTCAGAAACAATAAAATCATAAACCTTGTAGATATAGTCAGCATTCTTACCTTCTAAATCTGCTTTCAATCCTTTAAATTCCCTGAGGGCTGGTGCTAAATGATAATTATATTTATCAAGCACCTTCTTCAAATAACCAGCTTTGAACATTTCAAACTCATTTTTGACATAGGCAAGGCAGTGTTGTTTATAACTGTCACTCATAACTGTATCTGTCTTTGAGAAAAATTCCACTGGGTCTGGAAATTTGGATAAGAAGTTTTCCATGTCAAACTTTAAATTCTTAATCTGTCTTTGTTTAGCAATCTTTTGTTGCTTCTCCAAAATATCTTTCATTTTGGGATAGTTTCGTTTTTCAAACATTTGTGCTGCCAAGTTTTTCACTCTCTCTGCATCATTTGCCTTTTCTTCCAGCTGTTCAAAGAGATAGTTGGGATCACAATCTGGGAATATTTCCCGCAGTTGGTCAACTTCCCCTTGTAGGCTACATGCACCTGGGAAAACTTTTCCTGGAGTTACCTCCCCTCCATCACTAGAAACTGACAAAGATGCGCTGAGGCTGCCTTTGGTTGAACGCAGAATTTCCTCTATGACAACTTGGACTCTATCCTTTTTATCATGGTGAGCTTCTATATATGCATAGATTTCATTCCTGTCCATATCAGGAAACATCTTGGCTACCTTTCTCATGTCCAAAAAAACTGGATCATTTCTCAGCTGTGGATCATTTGGTAAGGAATCATCTTTTTTCAACAAAGGCTTGTCAACAACTTTTGTCAACTGGTCAATCACTTTCTGAACTCTGTCCCCATGGCTACTAAAAGACTCCAGCAAAGCGTAAACCTGATCAGGATTCGCTGCTGGGACCTTTGAGATCACCTTCTGCACCTCATCAAATAGATCCACTTCATTGGAAGCTCCAATGGTATCCTTCAAATCCTGGAGAAACAGATTAGCAACAATATCTGTCCGGTCAGGGGCACCGGCATGCCTCTCCAAGAGAGCATAAATTTCAGCAGCATTTAATTTCATAGATGCAGCAACTAGTTTGACTTTGTGAACCACACACTTGACATCCTCATACAGAGTTGATTTTGTAGCAGTTTCTCCCTTATTTCCAGGGGCTTCTGATTTTGAAGCAGTTTCTCCCTTATTTCCAGGGGCTTCACCTGCCTTTAAGTCTTCACCTGGTGGATTGTCAAGTAATTCTGTTGTTACAATGTCCATTCGGTTTGGGTTTCTTCTTTGTGATGCAAGTTTGTCATAAACTGCTGACACATCAACATTGGGCACCACAGATGCAATGACATCGGCATCACGTTGAACTGATGCAATTTTGACCATAGCTGGCTTGTCATCTTGTGTGCTGTCTGACTTTCCTCCATTTTCAACAGTTGCTGTAGTTCCATTTGTTATCCACTCCTGTGGTTGATACTGGTCTATCATTTCCATCATCCACTGAACTATTATTGACATCTACATCTACTTTAAGTTGTTTGGTGGGCGTGACATTCACATCTGTATCAATGTCATTCAAATCTGATGCTGATCTCTTCAAAGATGGCTTGCTTTCCATCTTTTTTTCTGTTTTAATGCCTGTCAAAAATATAAAAGAAAATACAAATATTGACCCTCACGTTTTTGTCACAACAAATTCATATCATCTCACCTCCAAGTGCATCACTGACCTGATTAACTCGAGGCAAAGTATTTTTCTTTACCTTCACCACCGTTACCAGCCTTGTGCTTTCTTTCTTTAATGCAAATGTAACCCTCGTATAGTCTTGTCAGTTACGTTTTGATACATATATATTTTTTCTACAATCTACACTTTTCCCCCATCACAATCACAAGTTCAAAAAGATACAACGACCGGCATAATTACAACTATGGGACACGTCTTACATGAAGAACAACATGTCATAGCTCAATGTTTGTTGCTTGGACAAAGTATATACGTGTGTACTTGAGAATAAATAAGCAATAATCGTCAACAGGTTTACTCATTGGGGACTGTGTTTTTCTTCATTCCAGTTAAGAACTCTGAACTGTTTTATTCGTTCATGGTGATATCTTGAAAATTAAAGCATAGCATACGAGTGTCGACACGGCACGCACCGGCTAACAGCGTTTCGAAATTCAACATGAAAACATCACTATTTGAAGCGCAGGCACCGACATGTTAGTTCCTCAAAGGGAGGTAAGCGAGTGAATTCATGTCATCACGCAAACCACTAAATTCGCACGGAAATGCGACAGCTGTCGGGACTCGAACTTCCAATAAACCTTGTCAGTCTTGGTATAACGAGGAGTCAAACACTTCTTTTCATCGAAGAAATATTTTTATATTCATATGGGTATAACAATATGTCTGCTCCATGTTTTCTTATGTAAAAGGCTTCTCTGCCCAGTGACAGTTGAAGTTGGCTATAATAGGGTTTAGGACCTTGCGTTGTGTACTTTTTATGTGGTGATGGTAAAGTAGCCAACTTCAAATACTACATAGTAGGCTCTATGAATCAGGCCTCATTGCTGGTAAAAACATAACAAATAGAAAAGAGAAACTCAATAATTTATTTACAAAAACCTAAACCTATCCTAACCTAACAACCTAACCTAATCTATACCTAACAATCTAACCTAACCTCAAACCTTAATGAGACATGGCTCTGATTTCAGAGCTTATGTCCAAAACAAATAAATATGGTAACGAGGAGACCTAGCAAATGAACTATGTGTGAGCATGGTTTCACTGGGATCGCTAACATAGGTACGATTTAAGGTATCGTCTGCAGTTAAGCCTTCAGGGAAATAAGCTGTTCTCGATAGAAACCTGCTGTTCCTTACACTAGAACCATCATCAACTTGACTTGGAAATCGAACAGACGGGTTTCCGGTTCCTGTTCGATTCAAGTTCAACCCGTCAACTTCCCTATCTGTCAACACCCTATCTACAATTCTATGGGCACGCAGGGTTTGAAATGGAACTGAGTGGTCAGTTCGCAAATCACCTGCAGATGTCCTGGAGTTCTGTTGCAGCCTTTCCTCCATCTCTACTCCTAACCCAAGTATATTATTTCTATTGGACGAAGAGACAAAAGGTGTAGATGTCAAGAAGATGGACTGAGCTCTTAAACCAACATCGGACTCAACAAACCCATTATTGATACCACTATCAGACAAGGCCAGTAACTCTTCTTGACTTAACACATCCATATCAAACAACTATCAGACACGACAATGAAACTGAATAAAATTCAATTCCTACCAGCAACAAGAAACCTGATCCTGGTCACGGCACCAAATCTGTAATAGGCTTCTCTGCCCAGTGACAGTTGAAGTTGGCTATAATAGGGTTTAGGACCTTGCGTTGTGTACTTTTTTATGTGGTGATGGTAAAGTAGCCATCTTCAAATAGGCTCTATGAATCAGGCCTCATTGCTGGTAAAAACATAACAAATAGAGAAGAGAAACAATAATTTATTTACAAAAACCTAAACCTATCCTAACCTAACAACCTAACCTAATCTATACCTAACAATCTAACCTAATCCCAAACCCTAATGAGACATGGCTCTGATTTCAGAGCCTATGTCCAAAACAAATAAATATCGTAATTTCCTATGTAACCAAAAAACCTATATACTTGGTCTGGATTACCAGGACTCAAGCAACTGAAATAAGTGTCCTCACCTCTGGTGAACCAGTGGACTAAAGACAAGGAGTGCGGTGAAGCTACTCCCTTTATAGGGCTAGAGGCAGGCAGTGCATGTGCTGCACATGCCAGGCACAACCGGCCGGGTGTGTTGTGGCTATGCATACCAGTATAGCCGAGAACACACTAATAACCCATGTTATATTAACCCAACCCCAAATAGAACTCAAACTTTACCCGAAATATCCTAAACTACCACATTCCTCCCCTTTAAACAAAGTTCTTAACTAAATAACTTTACTCCCAATTACACCAAACTGCTTCCCAATTATAACCCCACATACAAACACAACATAACAATTATTTCATTCATACAAATACACATCAAATGCGACAATCGCGAACACACTAATAACCCATGTTATATTAACCCAACCCCAAATAGAACTCAAACTTTACCCGAAATATCCTAAACTACCACACTTATAAAGGGGCAGTGGGGCAGCTCAGTGGAATGTTCGCTCGTCACGCTGAAGACCCGGGTTCGATTGTCCACATGGGTGCAATGTGTGAATCCCATTCAGGTGTGTGATATTGCTGGAATATTGCTAGAAGTGGCGTAAAACCATACTCACTCACTTCTTATAACTAGATGTCTCTCAGGTTAAAGGTTCACGGGCCAGTGTCAGGGCAATATAAGTAATGCTTATAAATACTAGCATAACGTTACTTTTACTGCCATACGAATATACGGATGGCCTTTTTTAATAGCCAAAAGTCACTGTAAAACAAACGTTTAAATGCATGGTAACGATCAACAGTCCCTTAATACAGCACACCTGGCATATGCAAATGAGCCACGACACAAGAGGGGGGTTCACAAGAATGTTCACAACGTCAGTAGCGAATATGTCGAATAGGGGCCACGAGACGTTGATCAAAGTCCCGGGGAAGATCATTTCATACCAGGAAGGATTTGGAACAGTTCTGCAGCGCTGTTGCAGGATTCGGATGACGTCCTAAACGTTGCTCCATTTCATCCCAGACGTGTTCAATAGGTGCCAAATCTTACGGACAGGCTAGACACGTGTCAGGTCACCAAAGACATGGGCATCGGCGAACTGTTCTCGGAGAGCTGTTGCCAGGTATGGTACGGGTTGTAGGGGTTACTGACTGGAACCATATACGCGTAGCTTAGCAATATCAAGAGAGTCACGGGTTCGATCCCCGACCGCGTCATACCAAAACACGGTAAACCCAATTTCACCTCACCTCATCAAGTGAGTCATTGTAGTAATGGGCTGTGACTCATAGTGAGCGAAGTGACCGTAAAATACTTAGTGTCTCGCCTTTAACATGGTGATGCCATGGCTACGGTACCCATGCGTGTGTATACGTTTAGGATTTTCCACCGCAAATTCAGATGGTAAGGCCTTTGCTAGAAGACAGCAACGCAGCGGAGTAGGAAAATTGCCCCCTGAACATGTTCATTTGATAACGTCGAGATTGAGTGAGTTACGCTATATATACTAGGCACATAAAGAAACTGTGCATACAAATATTTAGAATCTAAATTTATCAAACCTGTGTAGACACATAAGGATTTAAACTCAGAGATTAGTGACATGTATCCAACATGCATGCACGTGCCACGTTCCGTGACGTCAGTGGGTTCGTCCTTGGGACGTGCAATACGTTGGTGCACGTGTATTCCGGGAAAGAGAAACAGAGCAAATGAATGCCACACAATACTGTCACTTTGGAAAGCTCAACCCCTGCCCTTGCGATCGTTCAAAAAATTAAACGGCTATTGAAACCCATAGCATGCCAAGGCTCACTTCTGTACAACGTCATGAGGCCATTGGGATGGTCCGTGAGGGAATGTCTCAACGACAAGTGGCTGCACATTTCCACTGCCACCGGAACACCATTTCTGCACTGGTGAGACGCTACCAGAACACAAATGACGTCATCGATCGGCCACGTTCTGGACGTCAACGTGTAACAACGCCAAGACAGGACAGATGGATAAGGGTGACCCATCTTCGCCACAGGTTTCAGACAGCAGTGATGACTGCCCGAACCATCCCAGGACTTCGCCGTATCCACCCCAACACAGTTCGACAACGTTTACGTCATCACGGGATCAGACCACGACGTCCCGCCATACGGCCTATCCTGACACAACGTCATCGACAAGCTCGCCGAATGTGGTGCCGAAATCATGTCCACAGACCTTTGTTTTGGTGAAGAAATGTTGCTTTTACGGATGAGTCCAGGTTTAATAGTTTCCATAGTGATGGACGTACACGTGCCTATAGACGCGTGGGAGAACGTTATGCACAGGCCTGTGTCTTGGAGAGGAATCGCTTTGGTGGTGGTTATGTGATGATTTGGGGTGGAATAACAGCACGCCAAAGAAGTCCTTTGGTGATTGTTCAGGGCAACTTAACTGGTGTGGGCTACAGGGATCAGATTCTTCGACCTGTGACAATTCCTTTTCTGCAACGTCATGGCCCTGGGTTAACATTCCAACAGGACAATGCCCGCCCTGATAAGGTAAGGGTTGCTATGGATTTCTTGCAACACCACAACGTTGACTTACTGCCTTGGCCTACAAATTCACCGGATCTCTCCCCGATAGAGCATGTTTGGGACGAGATGGATCGACGTCTACGCCGTCTTCCTCATCCGCCAGATTACGTCCTTGACCTTGCAACAGAACTTGAGAGAATCTGGCGTGACATCCCACAAGCCTTCCTTGCACGTTTGATAGGCTCTATGCGTCGTCGATGCACTGCTGTTCTCAATGCCGATGGTGGACATACCCGTTATTGAGCTTGTGACATGGTCGTTTGACCCCTGTCCCGCTTGTGGACTCGTGACGTCATTGTGATTGACTTTTCAATTGAAATTCTCCCGACTTGTTATGGTCTCATGATCCCTCCATTAAAGTTTATATGTACCTTTGACATTGTAATCGTACTTATCAACTGGGATAATATTTTGACAATGCACAGTTTCTTTATGTGGCTAGTATAGATACACAGATTTCAGCTATTATCCAGCAAAATCAAGGCGTGAGTCACAAGAAATGGGCTTCATACCTTGCATCCATTTGGGGAATCGAAACTGGGTCTTCGGTGTGACGTTTTAACCACAAGTCTAACCCAAAGACTCTATTTGATATCAGTTTTCCTCTGTATACATTTCCTTACAACACGCACCGTCGCAGTCATATACTTATACCTATACACATGCAGACAGACGGACGGACGGACGGACGGACCGAAAGGTAGAAAGACAGACAGACTGTCAGATCAGACACGCTGACATGGTCGATGTATGGCATCCTATCCCTATTGTGTTGATGCCTATGATGTTAATGAATTAGCTATAGACTGTCATGAAAGAACTGAAATAGTGAGTTTGTTCAACAATAAACAACAAATCACGCAGAAGTACAAATTTCACTCCAACACAGTCACAATGTGTGTACGTTTTTTTATTGCTGGAAGAGAAAAAAAGTTTACTG